GTTAGAAACTTTTGCTTTGTTACACTGACTTATTTCCATTTCTCTGAATGAGAGAAGAATGAAACAGCAAGAAAGAAAGAGTTTTTAAAAGAACACACATGCATCATATATGCACATACATGCATATATATATATATATATATATATATATATATATATATATATATATATATTATATACATGAACACATTATATAACACCAGAAAGCCGCAGCCTGAATATAGAGGTATCCATAAAATTTGTAGTTTGATTCATATATAAGATAAGTGAATTATTTTATTCTATTGATAATAATTATCTCTCTCTCTCTCTCTCTCTCTATATATATATATATATATATATATATATATATATATATATATATATATACACACACACACCCACACACATATATGATTCTGATGAGTTATGAAGTTTGGGAATGCTGGCCAAGTTTCTTCATTCTAAAAAATGCGTGAAGTGTAACGCTTGTCATGTTCAATCTGTGATTCATGGGAAAATACAATTCAAAATAATAAATACTAAAAATAGAACTTGGGATATTTGATTAAAGACTGAAAAAGAAAAGAAAAAATATAGTTTATCTCTATACAATGACTAGAAGCCAACATATCTTTAAATAAAATTCATTCATTTATATTTAAAAAACATTCTTCTTTTTTTTAATAAAGAGATGACAGTCTTTCAATATCAAACCATGCAGTAATTATCCTACTTAACTTTCTAAAAGGTTGAAAACGTATATAAATATATATAAATTTCAAAGAGTAGGAATAAGGGTAGAAATGCACACATTTTGTGAACTTAAAGTAATAATGAATTTTCTTAAAAGAAGAAAATCATCATCATCATCAGTATTAATATTAAAAAGATACAAAATTGATAAATCTAAAATATGGTGAAATATAAAATAGAAAGAATAAATACTTTGAAAAAATAAGAAAAAGAGACTACCTGATCTAGTATGAAACATGACAAATGCAATTGAGTGGGTGTGTATTTAATATACACACACACACACACGTGTGTGTGTGTGTGTGTGTGTGTGTGTGTGTGTATATATATATATATATATATATATATATATATATATATATATATATGTACATGAACAAAGACAAAAGAAAAATTTACCTTAGCCAATGTTTTTTCATACTCTGAGGCAAATAAATTATTATATTTTGTAACAAGAGAAAGGTATACAAAATATACAACAGTAAAAAAGATAACAACATCATTAACAGCAATAACAGTAACAATAAACTAAATAAAAACAAACACATAATACTACTTACTAACTCTATAATATCGACTATCCAAAACAATCTATCCAATCTAAAGAAGAAATTAATTACAAGCAAAAAGTGAAAACTTTTATGGATCTAATCAGAACCAAAAGTACTAATAACAATAATAATTCTGAAAAAGTTATAAAATAAACCATGAGAATTGCTCCTCATAATACATTGGGGGAACCTGCAGAAATTTTTAAAAATGTATCTATGAACACTAAAAAGATCTTATACACAACATTTTATCAAATGCATTAGTTATACATAGAAATAAATTCAACCGCAACTTTAAACTAAAGAATGCCACTTATTAAAAGGGAAAATAACCTTATAGAAGGAAAATTCTTGTGAGTGCTGCTATCGAATCTTATCAAAATGTAAATCTGTGCCCCAGATTTTTTCAAATATCTCCATTGCTGAAAGAATTACTCCTTTCCCAAGCCAACATATATGAATATAAAAATTTTAAAAAATGAAAACAGTTAAAGTCATAACCTCATTTTATTTAAAATATATAACACCTAAACTCATCACAAACTAAAATAGTTTAAATATTAACTTGAACAAAAATTTCAAGAACACCTTTTACTTGCTTTCATTTATTAGACATTAAATTATGTCACTTAGCATCTATATATTATATATATATATATATATATATATATATATAATTTCAGATAAAATATATGTGTAAAAGGAGAATATGAACAAAAACAAATGGAAAACTTATCTTAGCCAACACATTTTGTCCTTTGAGACAAATGCAAGGATTTTTCTTATGCAACAAGTATTTATAGACAAATAGTTGTGAGTTTTTCAAGATTATTAAATTAAGAGACACTCATAAATATTCAACTGTTTAACTGAAAAGTTTAGGCATATTATGGAGGATGCTAAGTGACATAATTGTGATGAGTTTAGATGTTATATATTTTAAATAAAATGAGGTTATGACTTTAACTGTTTTCATTTCATGGGAAATTTTTCACTGAGTCATCATTGGATAAAACAGGTAGAATTGATAGCAAAGCATTACCTGGGAATAATCATTATCTGATAATGAGAGCCAATATACTCAAAAGTATCCAATTCAAGTGTTGAAAATCATTTACACCAAATCAACCATGTTAATCACTTTGTTATATGTTATTCACCAAAGAAAAAAAAAATTCTACTCAATCATATTTTTGCATGCAATTTGCTACTTAAATATAATGATAATGTTTGATTTTTTAAACAGATTTTGATGAGTAATTAAAAGTGAGTACTTTACAATAACTTGATCATTATCTCTATACAGATTTCAAACAATAAACATGTAGTCAAACAGAAGAATGTTAAAAATACCATGGAACATGTGAGCAGGAAGTAAGTTTCCATGAAAATGGAATCAAAATGGACATTTAAGCTTAGAATCAGAAAGAGACAGTTGACATTTCTGGGACACATAATGAGGAAAGAGGGCTTGGAGAATTTGTCACTCATAGAACATAGGGAAGGAGTGCCGAAGGAAACCTACTTAACAAACTTGGATAAATAAATGGCAGAAATGGACTGAAAGGGATAGCAAGGAGACATGCATTACTTAGAGCTACAAAGGATAGGAAGTTGTGGAGAGTTATGATCGCTTAAGCACAGAAGAGACATTTTGCATAAAAGAAAAAGACTTTACAATAATGTAGAATACAAGAGATTACAGGACAAGTGAAATAAATCACTACTAACCATACCAAAGAAAGTCAGGCAGTGTCTACTATGTGATTGAAAGAGAGTTAAAAATCAATGAAAATCATCTGTAATTAGTCAAAAGAAAGGGTTTAATATTCTTTCAAGATAGCACTACACTGCATGTTTCTTTGGTGACCAGGCAAAATTTGTTACTTCTTAGCTTGAAAGTTTTCACTAATTTGCCATATTCACCAGATATTGCATTTTCAGATTACCATTTATTCTAATCTTTAAAGAATTCTTTTAATGAAAAAAATTCAATTTCCTGAAAGATTTCAACAAGGCACCTAGAGCAGTTCTTTGCTGAGAAAGATAAAAATTTCTAGGAAGATGGAATTATAATGCTGCCTGAAAGATGGCAGAAGATAGTGGAACAAAACAGTAAATATGTTAATCAATAATGGTAATGCCAAAACTCAAAATAATTTGTCTTCTATTTTTTTTTTTACTTAATAAACCAAACTTTTTTCCATCTAATAAATCAAGGCAAAAATCAGATGATGAAGCCTATGACTCAACTTTGGTTTGTCTTGGACAGATTTATATTTTAATCCATACTTTATAAATTAATAATTATGACTTTACTTCTCTGTTCTAATTCTCTAAATAATTATTACTTTAATTTTTTCTATATTATTGTATATATTTAGGTAGCAAAAATTCATCCAATCAAGTTTTATTAAATTCAACCAAAAATCATTTTATCATATTTTTCCAAATTTCAAATGAGACAAATCAAAATTTTGGATGAACTGGCCAAAGTTCATGTTTTACACATAATGTCACTTATATGACATGCATATATTTTAATTAAATTTGAATTCTTACATTCCCCCAAAATGCCAGGATGTAGGCAAAAATATTGTGCCTACCAAACAAAGCTTAGTTCTTTATAATGACCAATATGGTTGAAAGTACTTGAACAAAAACAGAACAAAACAAAGTTTATGAACAGTTTAGTCATAATTTTGATTTGGAAGTAAAACATTTTATTTGAAAATTAGAAAAATAAAATAAAAAATTTAACAATTTTTGCTGTTTAAATATACTTCACACACACACACACACACACAAGGTGTGATGGATAAATTGTCACCATTTTATATTTTTAATTTCATGCAAGCGCATTGTTTGTTTTTGATTTTGTCAACTGTACAGTATAGTAGGGTTAGTTGGGCACTGTCTGTGAGAAAAAGAACACCATGATACAATTCACTCTGCCAGAAGACCCTATGTCACACAAGCAGAACCCAGTTATGGTTGTCAGACAATTTCTGCAACCACATCACCCCTTACATCTGGCCACCTAACACCCCAGAATATAACCCCCTTCATTATTATGTGTGGGGTGCAGTTGAGCGAGAGATCAACAAAAATTCCTTGTAACACCAAAGATTTTTTGACAGATATATATACCATTCATTAATGCCATTTTTTAATACTTTGTTTTGTTATTGGAAGGCACCTTTTGTTATTCCAGTGTGCTTTCAGATTTCTGCATTGCTTTTCCCATTGTACAGTGACGAAATATTTGGAGACAATAAGGATTAGGCTCTTCCAAATCTAAGATACATTGTCATTCAAGTAGGAAGAAAAGTGTAATGTCTTCATAGTCAATCTTATGGTTGTAGCTCTATACCTTCCTTAGCTGACTTTAGCTCAAGGCTGATGTCGAGGGTTCATGTCAGCAGATAGTCATGTGTGTTGGCAGCTGGAATGGACTCTCTGGGTGATCTCTCAAATTCGCTTGAGGCATGTGTATTTATTGATATCTGCTGACAAAAACTGGTGTGGGGTGTGACTCAGTTGGGGAATTTGGTATTTTTTTCCATCTGTCATCATCGTTTTTGGTCCTGAGAAATTAATTATTTCCGAATTTGGAAGTCTCCCCCTTTTCTTGAGTGATGGTTGTAGGCCTTATTCCACCCACAGGTTCTTCCTCCTCCTCTTAGCATCTCCCACTAATACTCTTTAGCGGGTATGGGCAGCTCCTTCACCTCCCTTTATGTCTGTGCCTGCTACCCTTCAGTGGGTACAGGCAGCTCCTCTTCCTTCCTTGATCTCTCTTCTGCACATGTCACCTCAACCACCCAGTGAAGACTAATTTTAAAAAAATTATTGTTCCAAATGAACCTTATAAGTGAATTGATACCAGTGTTGACTTTTTTCTTGTCTGAAAGTTGAATAAACAATTGGTCTTCTCCCCCTTGACCCAGAGATGCTTTCCCAGGGAAAATCTTGCAGCTTACATTATGGTGACAATCATTTGGCAAAATATCAAGATATTGCTGTGTGTTTTTATTAAAAAAAATTAATCCAGGTAGTTATTGTTTTCAATCCTGACACCTCTGTAGAAAGATCTGCCAAGTCAGTTTTATATTTCTTTCTTGTCTGAAATCACACACTGGACACCTGGCTCTCATGTCCTTTGGCTCATGTCAGAAACCTTTTAAGTAACATTTTTTACCTCTAACTGGCATTTAAAATTTTATCCGATTCTTCTCATCTTGATTCTATGGACACACTTATGGTGGGCATTATCAACCAATTGTCAACACCCCACCATGTTGTACAAAATTAAGTATTGTTCTTAGCCGGCCATTTGATTCATTTTAGAATTTTTGATTCTCTGGGAGCAAATCAGTGTATCATTTTTTATATTCAAAAGTCATTTTTATTATTTACCAGCAACCAAAATAGTGCTGCAAAAGAATTTGAATTGATAAAAGCTGTAGAAGTTGTTTGATACGGTGGATTTTTCTCTATATTCATGAATACAAAAACAGATTTTTATATTAAAAATACTGAGAAGGTGGTCTAGGTTTAAAAATATATGTCATCAAGATTATCATTAATTGTTATTTAATATTAATTTTTCTAATCTATATTGAATTTACACTAAAATATCTTAAAGTAAAAATTGTTTGGAAAAAATTCATTTTTATACCACATGATCCCTTCTAATTGGCCTCAATTAGAACTTGTTTTATAGGTTACCTATATTTATGTCTTACATGGATTCTTTTGTAGTATTTTCCTGAATCAGAAGTGAACAGATAATTTGATGTAAAAATAGAAATGGAAGATATGTTCTTTCCTTTTTGAAATGAAGAATATGAAGTAATATAAATAAATGAGGAATACTATAAGAAGATGATGAAAATTTCTCAGCACAACCAAGAAGCTCTTTTAAAAAAAAATTGAATATTTGGTCATTTAGTAGATTTTATGAAGCAAGTTGGGATGAGAACTTTTCAAACATCCATCATATTTCCTTATGGATGCATAATATAAAAATGTGGAATAAAAAGTAAAGATGCATTCATTTTCATCTTATCTCAACACTTTATTTTTTTTGTTCAGTATAAAAGATTTTTTCTCCTTATTCAATTGGATTTTCATCATAATTTTGACACAAAATGAATTGATATGTGACCTCATGGACTGTTTTTATCATGTTTAAAAAACAAAATATTTAACCACAATTTAATACCTTAAAATTTGTTGATGGAAAAGGAAATTTATCAATTTCTAGAAATAGTGTTTACCATAAGTTTTAAGAGCTTTTAGTTTTAGAAAAAGTAAACAGATTCATAGAAACAAACAGAAAATTCAATTAGTATGTTGAATGAATTATTTAAATATAAAAAAATATGTAAATCGGCCATTTTTGCATCTTATGAAAAATAAAATGCCATTAAATGAAGTCCATTATGAATTCAAAACTTGTTAGGAGATTTTAATAAAATAAAAAAAAGATGGAATATAGATATATTTTTCTCTTAAGCATTCATTATAATGTTGTTGATTCTATCATAGTGAGAGAAATGCTTCCAGGGATTTTAAATTAATGCATAATTTCAAAATTTTCTTTTTTCTGATATACCTTCAAGGATTTTCTGAAGAAAAATTACTTAACATGCACACACTGAAAAATAACCTTGTTCACAGCACATGTTTAGCTTCATCTAATGATATCTATAGATAGATATAGATAAAAACACTATCATGATCTAAAAAGCAATATATACACACACACACACACATATATATATATATATATATATATATAGAAAGAGAGAGAGAGATATTAACATTCTAACATGTCAAAAGTCATAGGCTAACAGTAATGGTATGTGCTACCACTGTAAGTTGACCTCATGGAAATGCTCAAATCTCCATCAGTTGTACTCTGACATCTGGTGGGTCAGTGTGAATACCGGTGGAACTGCCCATGTCAAACTGACAAGAATTATTGAAATTCAAATGAGGTATGATAATGGGTACCAGATGAATTTGACATTCTGTTTCTGAAATTGTGGGACCATTTAATATCCCTTGATCTATGGTGTCACACATGTACCAGGAATACCTAATGAAAGGATTTGATATCAAATGTGGGCAGTACAATGGCTGACTATAGGTCTTTAATGATTGCAACCAAAGGCACCTAGAATATATATAGAAGGCATATAGAATTGTCTGTGGTAACACACAAGCAACACTGGTTCAAATCATATTCATAATCAATGCAGGAGATATGATAGATATCCAACAGGTTAGTTCAGCATTCTTTAGCTTCCATAAGACATGAAAACAGTTTAAATACAGATTTTTAGTTTTTGCTTGTTATTGTTTTATGTAATATTTGTACTCCAGTGTTACTTGGTTGGTATACTATTCTTTCATTTAATAATAATAATGTAGAAGAATAAATTCAATGATGGACAGATGCAGTCAGAAGAAATTTAGAAAAGAAATAACAAATGTTTTTATCTAATAAAGTTTATTGAATCTTTAGTGACTATAAAGGATCATATATATATATATATATATATATATATATATATATATATATATATATATATATATATATATAAATCAATTTGTTAGTACTATAAGTCATTCATTTTGGTTTAAAAAATATACCACATATACTCATGTATAAGCCAACTACATGTATAGTGTAACCCCTAACACTGTTGAAAAAATTGACCGATGCATAGTGCAACTGGTCATGATTTTAATCTCTTCAAAAAGTTACCTTTCTGTAGTGTGACCCCTATGTTTTAAGTAAAAAAAAACTGATCTTAAAATATGGTATCTATCAATTTGTCAAATCAATCATTTAATTAATCAGATAAAAGATGACTAAAATTGTCTTGTATTTCTTATTTTCACAAGGATCAATATTAAAATAAACATTTATATAAACATTTATATAAATCTTTATAAATAAAATAACTTGCAGTTCTTATTATGAAGTTTCTGTCTTGATACAGTATTAGAAAAATAATGGGATATTTTCTGCAGCAACACTAAATAAATGAATATATAAAAGTAGCATGATCTATTCAACATGATATAATGGACTTTGTCAGGAGTCATATATAATATTACATGGCACAGTATGTGATATGGGATGGTATTTCATGAGGTATTATTCTTTAAAGTATTTGAAATTTAAAACTATCCCTTTTGATATATTTTGAAAACTAATCTTCAATTTGCAACATCTGAATTTTAAAAAGTAAGATGGATCACCCATGTGTGATGGTGTGCATAAGTAATGTTAGATTAAAATTAACCCTAATCTAAATTTGCCAGGTTTTGTCAGACAGGAGACTGATTTAGCTAATCAGAAGCTTCTAGCAAGCAATGAGAGATGGTTTTGGGCCTTAGATAACAGGGCAGAAGTTAGTCAGTGGTCTGATGAGATGTAAATTAAAGGCTTGTACTCCAGAAGTTTGGGGCTGGTAGATACTGTAAGACAAGTAAAATTTTTGTACATTAACATGTATCCAGGAATTAATTAATATTTAAGTGGTATTGCCTTTTCTTGTATATGGCATGTTTTGTTAATGCAAAAAATTCCTATTATTTCACATTTTCCTATCAATGGTTCTTCTTGTTATCTTATTTTTATGGGTGAGATCCATGACATCAACCACTTCATTTTGTGCAATTTAAAATCTTATACTGTCATTAAATCAAATATTTAATTATCTCTGCTACAGGCCCCATTGCTCTAAGTAGGTTAATTTTTGTTTAACTAAATAAAAATGGCTTGATGCTTTCTGAGCAGACCTAATAAGGGAGCTATTCCTATTAATGTAAGAGGTATAAAAAGAAACTATAAATAAATTAAATATTATAATGTTTTCAAAAAGAAGACTCTATAATATTTAATATGTAGATATATTAAATATTATAGTCTTCTAACTAGAAGACTCCATAATATTTAATATATTTATGCATTAAATATTATAGTCTTTTAACTAGAAAACTATACTATTTAAATCATCTATTTTATAATTATTTCTAACCAAATGCTTATTTCTAACCAAACAGCTTAAAAATAACATATTAAAAGAGATATTACAAGAAATATAAATCACAACTTATCAAAACAATTCAAGATATCAGGAGACAAGACTTTCATATTATTGGAAATATAAATTCATAGAAGAAAAGATATTACTCAAAAATAACTAAAAATCCTTTAAAAACACTTGTCTGAATAAATGATAAAAAGAAAAGAAAAGAAACAAAAGAATAGAAAAGAAAAAAGAAAAATAAGAAAAGAAAAATACCCCAAATCAACATTCTTTTTGCAAAAATCTCAATTCCTTGTTGCATCAGAATTATTAATGACCTCCTGACACCTATGTACCATCAATCACTTAAATGAATTCAAATCCTTTCTCACGAGGATAAAAATAAATATACCAGATTCAAGATAAATGCCTTTCTTTAAATTTGCTCTTTTTGGTCTCTTATTATTTTTTTTATTTTTAATTTGCAATTTAGTAGAAATGTCATTTTAAGAAAAAGGCCAATGAATTGCTAGAACCATTTTATCACTTTCTTTACCAAAGCAGAATCTGTAAAAAAAAAAAAAGAAAAAGAATTCAAAAAGAAAACAAAGAGTAAAATTGCTACTTCAGTAAAATTAATCCTACTTGGACTTGACTCTTATCCAAAAATGAAATGCATGATTGTATTTTAATTGGCAAATCTCTGAATCGTGATTATTCATTTATAGATGGAAAATGTGCAACTTTCAGTTTCTGTTA